CTCTAGATATGATCTATTAAATTAAAATGACTCATAAGAATAGCAGCTAAGCTGCAGTAAAAACCAGATATAAAATAGATAGTTGCAGAACTAGATAAATCTAAATATAGAAGCAACTCTTCTCATTATGACACTGTTTTGTATATCCTCACTCTTCCTCAACACTTTGGAGTCCCTTTTTCCCCTGGCATTAATTCAAAGCAATTGTTTGGCTTAGTGGCCTAGATCATACCAAGTGTTTAGCTGTGATTTGAATTCGGTCTCTCTGGGGAGGGTGTAATATCAATGATGCTGTGAAAGTTACTGAGTTACCTTTGCTTTGTAACAGGTGGTACCATCAGACTTTTATGGTGGGATTGTCAAGATTCCCTTGTTTCCCTCACTTCTAGAAGATGGGAGCAAGCCATCAAGATGGGTGCCAGGGCCCTTCTTTCTCCCTCTTCCCTTCTGTTAGACGGAAGAACACTAAAAATGCTTTCAGAGTTAACTGAGGTTGCTCAGAGCCTTTTGTAGCCAGCTTCTGAAACCACCCCAGAGGGGGAGAGCCACAGCCTCTCTGGGGAATCTCTACTAGTGCTTAAGACTTATTCAGAAATTCCCCTGCTGCAACTTGTCTCTTGTTGCCCCTTTTCCTTTTGCTGCATACCTCCCATGGGAGTTTGGCACTCTCTTCCCTCTACCTATTGAACACTGGATGGAGCACAAGTAGATCATCCTTTGCTTTCTCTTCTTTTGGCCAAACACCTGCAAGTAGTGATGTCTGAAAACTGTACATAACATTCCAAGTGTTATCTCCATGTCAGGGATATTCACTTTCCTTTACCTGTATGAATTTCTAGAGATATTTGTTGTTTGTTTTATACATTTGTATTCACATTTTATACAAATATGGATAGATTTAGGTAATTGTTCACCTCTACTCTGTGTATATATAATTATGTACAAATATATGAAATCCATGTATTGTATTTTAACTATATTTTTATATTATGGATGTGCATAGATACATACACAGATATATCAAAACAGGTATTTGAAAGGGATTTTCCATCATGGACGTATGCACAGATCCGAGGGCAGAGTGTAGCTGTACCTGTTGCAGATGCCTGATTAATGAACATCTGTGTTTATCCAGGACATACAGGCAAATAGACCCAGAGCATTTAGATATAAAACTTTTCAAAATTCCAGAATGGTGAAAACTTATGTGAAAGAGCTGCAGGTGTATTACACATACAGGTGTTTTGGTTTGACTAGAGGCATTGTATTCCTGTGTTAAGTTTGATTAAAATATTTTCACAGAATCATTTAGGTTGGGAAAAACCTCTGAGATCATGGAGTCCAACCTTTGAATGATCACCACCTTGATTTACTTTTGTTCATTTGAGTATTTTTAAATTATGAAAGATGCTTCATTTTTTATTTAAAGGTTTTAAGAGCTGAATGAATCACACTAATTACCAGTGTTTGCCCATACATCTCTTATGCAGGTATTAATTAGTATAAAAAATTATATAGGTAAGGGAAATGTTTGATTCATGCCTATTAAGCTGTTTATGATGTGCTTAGTGACTGAGAGGAGACCAGTTCCAGAAAGCATGAAAGCATGAAATTTAATGTGTATAAATTATGAATTTTCACTAACACCTGCTCTAGGTTCAGGCTTTAATTCCTACAAGTGAATCTGTGCTACTGCTCTTAACATGGGTTTGCTTTTTGCTGTCCAAACTCAAATTTTTTCTATTTGTCCAATTACTGTTTTGGCAAAGTGAGGGATTTTTTATTTTTCCATTTGGCAGCCCCTAGGTACCTCAGCTAAAAAACTGGGCAGAGGAATGCTGGTTTTCATAATCACATTTCTGTATCTCCAGAGCTGCTTCTGAAGCTGGATTGTAGGGCAGTACCATGTACAGGAGTCATGGGTCCTGCAGTGCTTTGGGTTTGCTGAAATGCAATTTAAGGATGTTCTCATACCTAAATTTATATTTATACATCTCTCTGCTCTTTGCATACTCTTGGTTGTCTGGGCCTTAGTCTGCAGTGCAGTCTTAGGCAGTATCACTATGAGTGACTCCAGAGCTGCATCTCAAGCCAAATTTGCGAGTCCTGCAGACTGAGCCCGTCTGGAGCAGCTCCTGGGCTGGCTCTGAGGCAATCCAGCTGTACTCAGGCACTCCTTGGACCTCTCTGTGGACAGGCCCAGGCGTTGTGTGCCCAGCCCAGCTGCTGCCTTGTACTGTTGCACTGGTGTCAGATATCATGATACAAGATAGCCTGGACTCCTTCCTAAAAGGGGCCAGGCACTCTCCTCCAGAAGAGAAGATGATATGTGAATGCAACCTCAATTCCCACCAAGGTTTTGTTCCTCACAGAAATACAGCTGTGGGTAAGGTACAGTATAGGCTTGGCCTGTAGGCCTCAGATGCCCATAAATAGCACAAGGAGAGATATTTCCCTGTCATATAATGGTTTGTCAGGATACAGACATGCTACTTTTTGGAATGCTTAGATAATGCTGCTTTGAGCCATATACAAGTTTTTTTAAGCGGGATTGGGATTTATGTGGGTAAATGAATAGCGTTTATCTGAGTCTAATCTAAGATGATCATCCATGGCTATTTGCAGTCGGTTTAAAAAAAAGGCACTTTAGGTACTTTTAGGCCATGATTCTTCTGACCTTCTCTGAGTTTTGGTTTAGGAGGAAAAGAAGTGGCTTAGAGCATTTCCTCACATATAAGTGGGTGACTGGCTCAGGAGTGGACAATTGCAGCGAGGCACAGTAATGACAGCTTGTGTGTACTCAGACAAGTTAGTTGTGTATGTTGCTTCATTTTGCTAAAGTTACATGGAAAGCAGTAGATGTTTTATAGCATTCTGAAATGCTGATTAGTTGTTACATACAAAAGACTAAACTGTATTTTAAGGCACAACCTCAGAAACTGGGAATATGACTCCATAGCTCTAGCAAGGATGCTGAACAAAACTGATTAGAAAATTTCTATCAAAAGAGATTTATCTAGGGGGAAAACCCTATTTGTTAATTCGTGTTTCTGTGATATTTTTCAAATTATTTTATAATGAAAATCCCATGCCACATGATGAAGGATTCCTACTACACCATATGCCACTAAATGAGTTGGGATTGTACATGTGTGTGTATGTACAGTTCTTGCAGATTTATTGGTAAATTCAGCTGTGGTTTGATAAATCCTGCAAATGGTTGTCCAAGTTTTAAAATTTAATTTCTTTTCAAATGTTGGTATACTTTGCCAATAGACAAATATATTGTTTTGATTGAAAATGTAAGCTCCTTTTAAGTTAGAATACAGGCCATGAGTATCCTCAGAGCCAGGCTTGCATTGGCAGCTGTAAGCTGGTCATGGCTGATTTTCAAGCTTCAAAAGTTTTGTTTGTATCAAGACCCCATCTGTGGACATTGATCATATTCAGATCTGCTGGAGCATTAGAAAAAGAAAAAAGAAACCTTTAAAGTCTGAAAAGGTCTGACTTCACTGGAAAAAATAATTGAAAGTAGTGTTGCCAACAACTAGGTAGGAGCTGGCAGCACCTGCCATGCGCTGTGTCAAATACGCTGTCTCTCACATCCACACAAGTTTAGGCCTAACTTCAACAAAATGTATTTTTTAAATAAATATTTTTAGAGTAATTTTAAATTATACTTCTTGAATTTTTAAGAGCTAAATATTCCTGAAATTTAGCTCCTCTAAGCATGAACTTCAACAGTAGCTGCTGTAATTGGTGCAGCATGGAAGCAAATACTTGCATGAAGGAAGATGTTTCCTTAGAGACTTTCAAACTTTAGAAGATTCATTCTCATTCAACTTTCCTTCATGTTTATTAGAAAAAAATACAGAGATAGAATACCCTTGTTCTCCAATTATGATGCATTTTTCTTTCTAATTCAGTTTATAACATTTATGAGGTTACCATAAGCTGAAGTCAGTGTTGAGCTAACATCCTAGAAAACATTCAGGTATCTCCTGTATTCCTGCTGGGCAAATCCCAAGGAGTGTTGACTTTTTAAAATGTTGGCTGTATTTTTTCTCAGTTATTTAAAAAGTATGTAAATCCTTAGAATATGATCTGACACTACTTTTTTTTAACATTCCAAGGTATACAGTATGTGGTTTTATTTTCAGTTAGACTTTGAATGACTAAAAAGGATTGATTCTTCTGAAATCCCTCCTGACATGAACCAGAAACAAACATAAGGGAATGCAGATACAAGGGGGTAGGAGTAATGCCCTTCTTATGTATAAATTGAAAAGTTCATTAGGAATGACTGGTGAGGGAAGAGCCTAGCTCATGAACATATGGGAAATCAGTTTACTTCAGAGAACTGAGGGTGAAGGGAAGGGATGTCTGCTTTTTATTAAAACCTGAAATGCATTATAATTGGCCTGAATCTTTGCCCAGATGGCTTCTCTTATGCTGACATCTGCAAGAGTGTATATAAAGCAACATTAGGAAGCTGTCTCTTGTGACAGTGTGTACACATGTAATTCTGTTAAAAACTAAGTCCTTTGCTATCTGTAGTGTTGGTCTTTGAATAAGCATGCTGAGAAATGTCATTTGTTTGACAAAATCTAATTATGGAACATGCTTTTTACATGGAAAGTTTCTACTACATCTGAGAAAACTTATTAGGGCTTTTCACCTATTTTTGTAGATTCTTGTTCGTTCTTCATCACAAATTCCAAGTAAACTTTTTTTTTCTTTTTTTTTTTTCAGGGGGAAACACCATTTCTTACTCCAGTCCTGTGTATTCTTTTCTAAAGTTTAAGTGTTATTATTTTGAATTTTCATGTGTGAATTTAGGCTGGTTTTGGCTGTCCAGTGAAAAGGTTAAGTGATAATAAAAAGTTAATTTCCTATTGAATGGGTTGGATGATGACAAGTGGATGCAATGTAATATATCTGTTGATCTGTTCACTTGTGTTAAAAATAAGGTGTCAACATAGTGCTTCTTTCTTTGTTAGACAACAGGAAAATTAAAGTCAATGGCACCAGGGAACCTATTGAATTTAAGACAAATCAGTGGTTTGGGGCAACAGTCAAAGCTCATAAAGAGAAAGTTGTGGTAAGTCTTATGCATTTGATATTAATTCAGAAAAAATGTTTCTTTTTCTCAAATGTATATGTTTAATAGCTTTCTATGTGTACATTAAGGAAATAACTTTCTGATTATGCATGAATTATAAAAGAGAGGATGTATATAATTCAAAAAACAAAAGCAACCTATAAAATCAGGTTGAACTGATCAAGTGAAGGTGATCCTGCTGCCATGTGAAAACAGCAGAATGTCATATTGTTGTGGAAGTGAATGATATTTTTTTAGTAGATAAGGGACATATTTCAGAGATGCACAGGAACTGATAGCTGTCTGCTATAAAATGTTTGGTATTATGAAGATATATCTGGAATGTTAAATACAGAATGTAGTAAAATTGCGCGTATTTGAATGTCATGAAATGTTTTGAAAGCCAAGAACCTCTGTTAATGTTCAGTTAGGAAAACACTTATTTCTTTTGTCACATTTACATTGTTTTGAAGAGCTATCTCATAGTGATGGTGACACAGCTGCAAAAAAAGCTGATAAAAACAGCTGATAAAAAAGCTCCAAATCACGATGGCTATCAAAATGCAGTATCTGCTCTCCAGTTTCACTGAATGTTTTACCTGTATTGATAGGGGCCCAGCAGTGGGCAAGTATTTTTATTGCCTAGTAAAGTGCTGGTGATGCTGCTTATACATAGACATTTTATATTTCCAATTGCATTAAGGTTTACATTAAAAAACAGCACTGAAGTAATTGTGATAAGAATAATAGGTTTGGTCATTAGTTTTACTAGTTTTTGCAATTGCCAAACAAAAATTTACCTTGGGATTTGATTAAAACTTCCGATTACTACTTAAAAAGTTGTCATAAGGGAGGAAATATTGAAAGGAAATGCTTTCCCTTATATTGAAGGCCATGTAGTTAACCTACAAAAGGATTTTGAAATGAAACTGGTAGCAAGTAAAACATCACCCTATTCTGTTATAAAGCTAAGTAAACATAAAAAATTCTAAAAAATTCTAAAAATAAATGAACATTTTTCATTTTCTGTATTCTACTAAATAATTCACAAATTGAAATAAAATACTTCTTTGCCACCATTTGTGAAATCTTAATCAAGTGATTAGAAGAACTCATCTCTAACAGATGTTCTGTGTCTGTACTGACCAAACTTCATTTATTTGGTGTAGCTCTTCTCAGAATCTGAAACTGACAGATAGTCAACACTTTTCAGGCAAAAAATTGGACAGCAAAGCTGTAAAGCTTTGTCTGTTAAGCTTTGTAGGCTAAGAGAAAATGTCATCAAACTGTCAGGAATTTGTTTTTTAAGCTACAGATTTAATAATAGACTGCATTAAGTCAGCATTTATGATTATATTGTTAGTGTTTCAATCTATTTGGCTTGATGTCAGCTGTACCTAAAATCACCCCCACAGGACACAGACTCCTCTTTGCTGCACTCTGGTTTTGTTCTCTGTTTCAATATGCAAGATTTCCTAGGCAGGGGTATGTGAGGTGTCCCTGCTCCTTAAGCCATTGCTCCACAAGCTCTGGCTGGTGGTAAGCTCTGAGTAGCACTTTGCTTCATACAGCTAGTACTGATTGCTGAATGAAGGCTAATAGTAGCAATATCTTGCCAGAGGTAGACAGCTTTGTAATTGAAAGATCAGGACAAGAAAGGACATGAATGAAGGATTTATTTGCATCCTAGAGAGGCAAGGTTGCAGGGAGAGGTAGTGTCTTCATGCTCCCAGGCAATGAAAAGTTTCAGGGAACAGGAAACTGTCAGGAATGATTGCAGACCTGAGAGCTTATTTTTCTTGTTTTTCTAATTATCTGGATTACCTTCAGAAAATATAATGCTTCTCTCCACACAAGTTGTATATCTTTTATCTTTGTCATTTTTGTAACACCACTGCTGTAACATGGAAGATTAAATATCTAGCCAAAGCTTCCTTAACAAAAATCTATTCACTCAGCCTGTTGAATGCCTTGTAACTGTATCCTGTCTGTGAAGATTTGAACCAGGGGTTATAAGGGATTATTACCAGGCAGACACTCAGATGATTGTGATCGACCATATGACAACAACCTGACAAATCTCCTGCTAAGTGGAATCAGTTCTGCTGCTACACCAATTATCTTAGAACATACCGGGACAGAACTGGGATTGCCTTTAGCCACATATATATGAAATGCATCTTAAATTATGGGATCAGCTCCTGTGCAATGAGCAGTAATAGAGCAAAGATATTACTTGTGAAGCAGACCTAGAGAGTATTTGTAACATGGCTTAAATGTGACTTGTAGTCCCTGACAGATTTCACCTGCCAAGGGCTATAAGTGAAACATCAGTGTGCTTTTCAATTTATAATGAAATTATATGAAGCAGTGATCCTGCATTTTCTTCTGTCATCATTGTTATGTGAGCGATACAACACAAGAGAGAATCCGTGTACACAGCCTATTAAAAACTACATTTGCCAGATGCATAAGTGTGCAAAAGTACATGTATCTTCTGTTTTGTGTTTCTGTTTTTATAGGCTTGTGCTCCTTTGTATCATTGGAGAACCCTTAAAGACAGCCCAGAGAAGGACCCTGTTGGCACCTGCTATGTAGCAATTCAGAACTTCAGTGCCTATGCTGAATATTCACCTTGTCGCAACAGTAAGTATTAATATGAGCAGTCCTGTGTTGAAGGAATTGATTTTGCACAGAGTGTGTTGATTCTTTCAGTCTTCACACCATTGAGTCTTGATTGAATGAAGGTTACTGTGTGATGTCATTGCATTGAATCAGGGTGTAAGGAAAAGTTAACATTAAACTATATGCCTATAATTGGATGCTTTATCATATAATTAATTGAAAAAGGAGAAACTAAGTAAATTAAGTGTGTGCAGTTATAGTAATGAGCTATAATTGATTCAATTTCTGTGGCTTTAAAACATAGCAAACAGATCTAGATAAGAACCAGACAGCATATTAAACCAATTATTCATACTTATGCTGAGTATAAATGTCTCATCACAAGGTCATGATTTGAAGATCAGACTCTGCATAGAAACACACAAGCCTGTATCATGCTCATGCCAGTATCATCCACAAGAGCTCATTTGTGAAGAGCTTTCAGCATGGAAGAAAGCCGTGCACATTAACACTGCTGTTCTACACTCTTTTCTGTGCTGTTCTGAGCATGTGGTAGCTGTCTCTGGGCCTTGCTTCTTGGGGAATAGGGATAAACCACATGCATATTTTGAACCAGATTCAGCCACCTAGAAGTCTGCAGAAAATACCACATGTTGGGTTATTATCAGTCATTCATCTTGTTCAGCATTCTATGCCTATTGTAGTAGAGCTTTGAGCAGAGTTTTGTTGTATCTTCCTTTTAAAGCCTAATCCTTGTCTCTGCATGGACAGGCACAGAAAGAAGCTGAATCTGTAAGAAATGGTGTCCTTAAGATCTGGTTTATGTCTTACTGATGTCTCACTGGGCCTTTGGGGAAGGCTTATGTCGTTTGAAGAGAGAGTTCAAGTGGCCCTTCCTGCTCCCAGTTTTGCAATCCCGCAGTCTTCTGGCACACATAGAATTTCCATAAGATGCAGGGCAACACATTTTGCACAATTATATAAGGATTTGGAGAATAGAAATAGAAGTAGTCAGAAGCAGGAAAGTTGTTTTTCCATGTACACATCCTGACCCTTACACTGTGTCAAGGATTTTTGAGAACACCGTAGTAAACACTTATTTTTGTATTTATGACAGATCAGACTGTGATGAGCATTCTACAATCTTGTTGAGTTTTTTACTTTTTTATCTCCAGCTAAATTAAAACTGAATCCTTTATGGTTGTTTCAAGGGTCCTTTCTTGGCAGTGGGAGGAGAAAGTCCCAAGTAGAAGGTCCTATTTTTCACAAGGGACTGCACGATCAGGGTCTTGCAGAAGGTCTTGATTTGCTCTGCCTCTTCTAAAAAATAATACGTATTTTCGCATATTCTGGTAGTGTTACATTTCATAGTGTCACACCTCCAGGAGTATCTGTGTTATCTTCCACATGCACTAAAATCAATAAAATGCTTCTACCTTCATAATTGCAGGCAATGCAGATCCTGAAGGACAAGGCTTTTGTCAAGCAGGTTTCAGCTTAGATTTTTACAAGGTGAGATTCTACTTCTGAATTATTTTGACCAAATGTCATTATGATATATCTGCAGGGTTCAAGTGCTGTCTCAGTGATCATGAGGTTATCTCCATGCTGTTGGATATAGAAACTTTTGTGAAGTTGTTGCAAGTTCTTTCCTCTCTTTCAAGCTTCAAACTTTCTTGTTTCATTAATAAAAAGAAATACTCAATCAGCACATGCTTTTCCCTGCAGCATTCCACTTTGTCTCAGTCTATCTTAACAGATAATTAGGCAAAAACTTCTATATGCTTCTATCTCAGTCTATCTCACTCAAAATGCTTTCCTTGACTTTCAGGAAGGAGTGGGGCAGGCACCAACTAATTTTAAAAAGTTAAAATATGTCACTGTTTAGTAAGAAATGACACAAAGCCATCAGAAGGCTCAGTGACATATAGCACCCATTTATTTCAGACTGCTCCTTTTTAGACACTGTTCCAATTCAGGTGGACTTGATTGGTCATTTAGTTAGTATATTTCACCTGACTGGCTAATTAACAAGATGCCCTCTCATAAACAATCTTTGAGAATAACAAGGAAACAGACAGTAGGAAAACAATACCTGCAGGTTGTTTTTAATAATAAGATATCATTGTTTATCTCTAGCTCCCTAAAGTCTCCCAGGCTGATTTTGGGTAAACTTATCTAGTTTTCTGGCTGTAACATCCACAAAAATAACCAAAAGATGCTTTTGGTGGCAGACTAGTCATTGAGTAAAACCATTCTCATGTGGGGATGAAAGTACCTAAGGGAAAGGACTAGATTTTCTTAAATGCCAAGGGGGTTCAGTAACAATGTTGTGGGAGAAAGGATAAGCTTTGTGTGATTGTTGTTATCTGGGCCATTATTTGCAGCTCCAGGGCTTCAGGTAACTTTGACCTGACCATTGCCACTCTTTTGAGTGTTTGCAGCTGCATTGTATAATTCTCTCTAAAATGTTACTGTAGTTTCATTGAATTGGAGCAACCTCTTTTCTGTTAACTTTGTTTTGTTACAATTAAGCAGCAATTTTTGAGATGTTATATTAATGAAAAATAAATGGCTTTCATTCAAGTGCAGATGCATAGGGTGATTTTGACCTTTTTTTAACTGTGGATTTTCCTGCACATCTGTGCACCTACATCCTTTCCTTGAGCATGGCTATTCTCCTTTATCATGATTCTGATATTGTTTTGATCATTTAAATTGCTTTTTTTCCCATGCATGCTTAATTTTCTTATGTAATTCTGTTCTTTTGTTGTGTAATTTTGTTCTTTTGTTGTGTAATTTTTTTTTAATTCTGCTTTTTGTAGAATGGAGACCTGATAGTAGGCGGGCCCGGTAGTTTTTATTGGCAAGGTATGTTCATCTGGGTGGTTAACTGGATCTAAGAAGTGAAGGAGAAAGTATTATTGGTATTATCACTGGTTGTTTTTGGTTTTTTTTTTTTTTATTTAAGATAACCAGTCTCTGATCTTATTTTCAACAAATATAAATCAAAAGAATTGCTTAACAAGAAACTGAGCATAAAAATAAGCCATGAAAATCCAGGATGTGGTTTGTATAGGAAGTTAAATAAATGCAAATAACTATTTTTATGTTGGTATTTTGGTATATTTGTAATTTAATTAGTAAGTTGAATTTTTCCCTAGAAATACTGCAGGTTTAAAAATTGCTAATATTTGTAGAACAAATATACTATTTTAAAAATATTTGTTACTTCATTTTTGAACACAACCTTTTATAGCTATCGATATGGATTTTAAGTTCATTTGTGGCATCACTGTAGCTTCCAAGATGCAATTGCTTGTGTAGTAAAACCCTGAGGTTGTTTCAGTAAAGGATTAAGAGGTCATTTTTGTTTTAAGCTGTTCTTACATGTATGATGTAGCTGATTCCCAGCCTCTGCCTACCAGCTTGCCCACTGTCAGCCACTTTGATGTGTGTTTTTGCATTTTTTTAAAAGAAGATCTAATTGATTGTGATTGTAGGGAATTCATAGCTTTGAATTCTCCATTGAGAAATTGCTTTCATTGGTCTACTACATTTGTACAGTGCAGTGACTTTAGTTTGAATTAGTAAATTGAAATGGGTCTGAAGTTGTTTTTGTAATGGTTCAAGAGATATTCAGTGCCTTGTTTTAATGATCTATGTGTACTCTTGAGACTTCCAGGGTAATAATGGAGAAAGCTTGAGAGGAGTTATCTGCTCTTTGTGCTGTACTAGCATCCTTTCTGCTCTGTTCTGGTGTTCTGCTAGCCCTGTTTTATAGAATCTGGCCCTCTTTTAGGTCCCTTTCATTTATGAAGCTGTTTAAATCCAGGTCAGGTAATCACTGCAAGTGTTGCGGACATCATTGCAAATTATTCCTTCAAGGATATTCTGAGGAAACTGGCACGAGAGAAGCAAACAGGAGTGGCACCACCCTCATATGATGACAATTACATGGGTAAGCTGAGTTCTGTATGAGTTAGCAATATGTTCTAAAAGGGTGAGTCTTACATAATTATGAAAACAAGCCCTACATTACTATTGTCCCAGTTGTGAGAGGGTTTGAACATGTTTTGCCTTAAGCCCAACAGCAAATCAGTAGTTTGCTGGTTACTTCAGCAAGATTACTAACATTCTTAAAATGATGCACAGTAACAGGGTTTGAAGGTTGAGTTCTTGAATGGCTTGTTAGGGTTCTTATTATTTGATCTTAAATAATTAGGCAGAAATACAAATTCTTCCCATGTATGTATTTTTTCATTGCAAGATGATGGATTGAACTTAATGTAATTAAAGGCAATTTCAGTTTTTATTAGTAAATTAGTAAATTTAGTAGTAAATTCAAATTAAGTTCTGTGGTATTTTGTACAGCACTAGACAAATACCCAATTTATTCTCAGTGATATTTAAAAGATATAATTAAAGTAAGCAATAACAAAAGTCAATTTGGAGATTTTATGTAATTAATAGAAAAAAGGCTCCTTATCTACTTATTAGTACTGATCTCCAAGAATTTCTTGATACTGACATGTCTCTGCATGTAAGGCAGGTTTTTCTTCACACAGTTATAGAAGAGATTCAGTGGAATTTGAAGGTGTGTCCTTGCACTGCTTCCCATGGATTTGAAGTTAAAGTCCCTGATACAATCCAGAAGAATTCTTTACTGTGACAGTAGTTACTATCTCATAGGTTTACTAAAGCCCCAAGAGGTGCTTTACTGCATCTTTGGAAATCTGTTTTCCGTATAAAGCTCAGCCACGATACTCACACATTACAGTACAATAATGAGGACCTGAATTGTGTCAATAGCTATTAGGGCAAAACACCATAGTACCTGGTGTTTTTTTCAGATGCATTACTAAGTATTATTGATTTAGGAGCTCATTTTGGAGAAGAGGGATCAATTTCTTGTACATTCAAACCTAACATTAACTTAGTCATAGTAGTGTGATAAACAATTTTCCTTTTCTCTGCACAGTTTTAGTATACTAATGTTAGAAAACTTGCATTCAGCAGATCCATTGAACAGACAAATCTGATGGTCCTTGCATATTTTTTGAAAGAAATTGTTTATCAAGTTGGATTTTTTTTTAATTTATCTTTAAACAGGATACTCAGTGGCTGCTGGGGAATTTACTGGGGATTCTGAACAAGGTAAGCACCTGTGTATTTGAATGAAAACCATATGGCCATGCACTTTAGATTAAATTCCTTGTTTTGGGTCTCTGCACAGGAACATACCTATTATACATTTGAAATCCTAGTGAGACTTAAGCTGTCTGAACTCAGTATTCTCAGAGACAATTCTTCCTGAGACAGTAAAACATAACAGAATTCAAGTAACACAAAAATTTGAATTCCATAAGGGGTGGCTCTCTTGAGTGGCTGAACAGCTCTGTAGTCCAGACTCACAAGGCCAGTAGGGACATAGTACATTTCTACAAGTAAACCCAGTGCTCCAGAGCTGCTGCTGCTTAACCCATCTGAAGTAAAAGTCGCCTGTCCTGCATTATGAAGGATTCAATAATTAAATACAAAACCACACAGTTTTGAGCCAAGCATTATGATGTGTAAAAAGAGGTACCCCCAGTAATGGAAGGCAACATCTTTGGCTGGTTTTTAATGCATACTCAGAGTTCTATAATGGATGATTTTTTGAATCAGTATTTCATGTGAATGACTGGCACAGAAATACTGCATAGTTGGCTGACTCGAGATTCATCCTGTGTCATGTTCAGGCTTTCATTAGTACTTCCCCTTCCCCTTGAGCAAACACATTCAGTCAGAGGGGAGCGTACGATGCCAGTGAGGAACAGAGGAAGGCTTGGTCAGGACAAGCAGGTGGCTGAGGTGCTCTGTTATCTGAACTTCCTGCTGCTGTCTTCTGATACAGATATCCTAATGAGGCAAGGTTTACACCGCATGACTGCAGGCTGAGACTTTCCTTCTTCCTTCTTTTTTTTACTCACTTTTTCTACTAGTAGTTTAAGATTTTGCCATTGAGCAAAATTACTCCTAGAAGGCAGCTAGGTCTAATGTTTAATGTTCTTATTCAATGGATCCTTCCAATGCCACTCACAAAAATGTCCTTGTAATGCTTTTAGATAGACTGTGCAGAATTTGTCAAGCACTTACATGGCATCCAGTGAAATAATGGATGAGACAAACTGTTGGTAGGCAAAAAGAAAAGAAATGTTTGTAAGGACAGTTCTGTTTAGCTTCTGTGCTCTAGTATGTGATGCCATAACTAATTCTTGTTCCATCAGTACACAACTGCCAGTTAGCAAGCTGAATTCTACCAAGAACTTTATTATACTGTGCTATGCTAAGCAATGCTAAACAGAAAGAGATCCATGGATGGATCAAAAGTCAAAATGTAATGTTTTGTGCAAGTAAATGAACCGAATGAATGCTATAGTCCTATGAAGTAATGGCTTGAAGTGATTTACAGGTCTTTCAGATACAGACCACAAATCAAAATCCTAAGGGATTTGAAATATGTATCAAGGAAATTTTAAGTGGTGTGGGATGCATCTTGCATGTACAACTCAGATTGCAAAACCAGTTCACTGTTGATCATTTATCCTTTCAGAGCTGGTTGCTGGAGTCCCAAGGGGAGCACAGAACTTTGGCTATGTATGTACTGGACCTTCATTTTATGTTTTTCATAGTAAGAAGGCAATTAAGCTATTTGTAAGGTTAAGTGCTACATTATATTTTCTGTCTCCTTCATAAAAAACTTTCAAATCAGGAAAAACTTCCACTGACTTTCACCCTCAGGTTTATCTGCCTGGGTTGGAATGCCTTTACTGGTTTGGGTTTTGGATGGTAAGCACTTAGTCCCTTCTGAAGTCTGTTTTCACTAGGCAGCCACAATTACAATGACGTGCTCTGAGTCTGACTAGTATCCCTACCCACTGAGTGTTATCAGACCTAAGCTCACACACAGGTTAGCATATTTTTGTGCAGTGCTGGGTCCACAGTGCAGAGGAGTCCAAGTTCAGATTATTCATACCCATTGTTTACTGTCAGTGCTGTAAGTGTATACACTGAAGTCCAGATGCAAAGAGTCATCATATGCAGTTAGAAGTGAAGGGAGAGAACAATATACATTTGTGAATACAGCTGTCAACTTGTAGGCAAAAAGTTCCACAAGTAACCTGACTGGAAAAGTAGATCACAGCCACAGACACGTTCTCTAGTTTTGTAGACCCCAAATTCCTGGTATCTCTGGGACATTTTGTAGAATTTTTAGGAAAAGGGTGTATAGATGTATGTATATATATTTATGTATCTGTGTATACTTCTTTATGTTTTAAGTTCATGTTCTCATGCCTAGTCACTGATTAGTTAATAGTCTGTGATTTGCTGTTGTTCAGTGTCCAGCAAGGAAGAGAAATATTTTTCCCTATTTTTTTCATGGGGAGCCTGAGGGTCATGAAATCTTAGCAATTTGTTCAAGATCATACAGGATAGCTGTGGTGAGGTAGAAAAAGCACTGTTTTTTCTTGGACCATCTTTCAGTGTGTTAAATTCTTTTGCAGTGATGTCATGCTGTAGCATCTCCATGTGTGCCTGAAACTTTCCTTATTCTTTTGTTTTCAGGTCTCAATAATTAATTCCTCTGACTTGACCTTTATCCAGAACTTCACTGGTGAGCAGGTAATGTCAAGCAACTGTGTGATGAAATATTGTATCTCTAGTGCATCAAAGAGGATTATCAGTAAAAAAACTTTACATTTTATATGAAATATGAAAGCCTATCTGTTGTTTTTTATTTTCAGATGGCGTCCTATTTTGGGTACACAGTTGCAGTATCTGATGTTAACAATGATGGGTAGGTTACAAAATATATTCAGCTCCACTGAACATTAATAGAAGCAATTACTGATATTTATTAATAAATGTAGGTTCTCGGGTGCTTTATGCCTCAAAATGCTTCTCTTGGCTTCTCTGCTTCTCAAATTTTAATTTCCACATAGACTTATCTTTGTGCAGCCACAGTGGCATGAGTATTTGCAGGCCTAGTCTGGGTGAGTTTATCTTCCTGAATGTTTATTCAAAGCAGTGTGTCAGGGGAGTGTCCAGAGTCCTGGGAAACAGATCCAGGTAAAAGAACAGTGAATAAATTGCACCACAGGGAAGACATTGGGAGAATGAATTTCTGACTCTCACCTTTCTCACATACAGGAAAATTTTCTCATCCATAGCTTTACTTCTCAATTTTAAAAGCCTTCTAATGTCATCAGCTATTCTTTCCTCATTTCCTCATCTGCTGGTTGGCCATCCATGTTTATCATCCTGAGGACCAGCAATTGTCTGTGCCCCATAGTTGTTACAGCAGGCATTGTGTGTGTCAGAGGGATTAAGATGCTCCAATCTCAGGATCATGATACCTGGGGATCATTATCCCTAAGATACTTGGGGGTTTCAGGCTCTGTTGAACAAAACCCTTGTTAACTTTCAAGTCATGTAAAGTCTGATTAAATATTTTAGAAGAAGAGGACTTTAGTAAGAGAATATTTATAGTAGCTATCTAGCAAGGAGATAAAGATCCCTGAAACTCAGAGGCTTGGAAGTCTGCACAAAGATGAGCCCAGATAATATTTAGAGATGTAGTGTACTATTGCTTATTGCAAAATGCCTCAGATGTGTCTACATCATATGTTTTTCTTGTGATCATTTCTTATTAAGTGCTTAAACATAGTGCATGAAATAATTTTTCTGGGTTAAGTCATTGCTTCTCATCAGTGACTAGTGACCCTTTAAAGATTGAGTTTTGCAAGAGAAGAGAAAAATAACAAGGTGGTAAATGTTATTGCAGTTACAAAAAAAACCAACAACAACAGAACAGAAGCTTCAGCAGTTTCCATGGTGGCTTCACAGAACTCAAATCTTACCAAGTTTCTGAGATTAAATTTTGTCATAGTATCACAGCTTTTGAAAATTTTGGTTTTTCTGATATACAGAATCAGAAATTATTTAGTCCTACTGATGTATTACAAATGTGAAAGGGTGAAGGAACATTCATCTGAGGTGCAATAGACACTCATTAGACTTTCAGGGTACTTATTTAACTTCTCATTGAACCAAACTGTTTCCTTTCTGTGCAGGTTATTTCCTGTTAACCCTAGGGTTACTTGGCAGGTCTCATACTTTCTGTGTACCTCTAAAACCACAGTTTATGTCAATAATATAATCAAACTGCTGTTGAGGCCTGTGTGGTCTCCCAGTCTATATCTTAAATGAAATCTAAAGTCTCTTCCTGAGATCCAAACATCCCACAGAAAACAAAACACAAAAAGCTTTACTGGATAAACATGTCTGATTAGATATGTAGCCTGCCTTTGCTGGTTTGCACATATAATCAATAGAAATATTTATCTGAAAGGAAGAGTAAAGGAGGAGAAAAAAGCAAAAGGAAATTAACACTTCAAATTCACTTAGGCATTTTGTTCAGCTAAAGATGAGGGGGTAGTGGTGGCCTCATCAGTATGAGAAACCCAATTAAGTTATTTGCAGAAAAAAAGAACACAAGATTATTAGGAATAGTGCTTTGCTGTAATAAGACTCATAATATGGCTCAAAGATTAGGCTCATCTTAGGAAAAAAAAAGTTCTGTAGATCTGGCCCAGTAGTTCTGTGGGTACAGCAAAGTGAATCATGCAGTTTTATCTGCACCACATCAGGACTGTAGGCAGAACAGGGAAATTGAGGATACTGTTTGAACTACCCTTTAGTTGCCTGTTGCTAATACTGAGAAATCCACAATGAAACTTAATAAATCAAGTTTGCCATCAACTTACAAGCTACATTCCTAGTAAAGAGAGAAAAAGAGAGCCCTTTCAATTTAGGCTGAATCAATCCAATAAAAATAGTGAAATAAACTGTTTACTGGTTTTTTTATTTGGCCTATATCAAAGCTTTCCATAGTTATACTTTGACCTCTTGACATTTCCCATATTCCTGCTTTTTATTACTCTGCAGGATACAAAGGAATGGCACACAGTCTCAGCAGGTGGTCAGCTTTGTGCTTTTTAAAGATTTTTTTTTTTTTTAATCATAAGGGAAGTAATACTGGCGGGTTACTTTTCTGTGTTGGAGCAAAAATTAATATATAATTTATGTTAACTCTAGCATCTTAGGGCAATAATGAAATCTAATGAACCAGTTTAAAATAGCACTGCATGCTGAACTGCATTTCATGGTTTAGTATTACCGTCCAGGGGCTTTTGCTTTTATTTACTCATATGGCTTTTTAAAAGTAATCACATCAACCTGAATTTGACTCAGAACTCTCAATTTTGTAAATACAAACCCCTACAATTTAAAAAGCCAATTGAAATATCCTCTTTCACCAACAAAATGCATCATACTAATCACATGAGCACTTAGAACCCAACAAGTACACACACCCCCCCCCCCATACCCCCTTGACTGCTTGCTATCTAAATAATTAAGTTGTAGAAGATGGGAGGTAGAACTGAGTATAAAATAGGGTAAGCAGCAATTGTTTGCTTATTTTACCCACTTGAAGAGGAACCAGAAGGAAGTAAATGAGGATCAGAGAGAGGTTGGGTAGCTGACAAACCCTTCCTTTCCAGCTATAGTACACTGCTGTGACAGCACAAAAAACCCAAACTCTAATCCCAAACCTCTAGAATTGCCTAAGGGGGAGTTCCCTCTTGCAGAGGACTTGCTGAAGCAGCGTGCTTTGACCTACAGGGCTCAGCTCTGAAGGAGAAGGGGGAAAATTTAAGAGGGTGAGAAAAGGAAGGCCTTGGTGGGGCAATACATCTGAGTACCTGGAGGGAAGACAAACCAAGTTTTGTGGGTGCATCAGGTGGCTCTGCTGCCCATAACCAGCTGAAAAATAGGTCAGTGTATTAAATGACTGCCCTCCTTCCACCTGTCCCTCAGTACATCAGAAGATGAGCCATCTTAGCTACCAGATTCTGGTCCCTTCTCCATGGACTGTTCATGCATTTTATACAGTCATTGTCATTTATTTTAGCAAAGTTGAAGTTTTGCCAGAAAAATAACCCAGTACTGTGCACTTCTAGCTGGGATGCTGTGGTCCCTGTTCAACAGGCTCCAGCTCCTGTCTGCTTGCTTTCTGTGTCACCTGGTGAATCTTGTGTTCTGGGTTAGGCTTCTGCTTAGAGAGTTTTAGTACACAATAAGTAGTTTGTCTTTTCACCATTTTAGGCACTCTAGATATTGCTCTAGGACTAGGGTTTTAAAGGTATCTGGGTATATATTTATTTTACATCAGTGTGCTGGGAGCTTTCTGACTCTCAGTCATTTGATTCCTTCTCATCTCTAAAAAAATCTTCCTTTAGTCTTAAAATTGCTCATTTGTAAAATATTCAAGGGAGCCAAGCACATCTTTTATTTCATGGTTTCTACAGCACTGAACTCTGTGGGGTCCCAAAGTACTGGGAATATCTGGACTGTGAGGTACTGAAATAGTAATTGATGATAGTCCTACTGTGTAATGCTTTTAGTACATGGCATATGTAAAATTACTTATTTTTAAAAGAGCATTCATTATTTCTTTCTGTTGTTGCTATTGTTTCATGGCAACCATTTCAGCTGATATTCTGTCCCAACCACAAACATCTTCCATTAGTAGAGGAAGACTTTTAATGTTTAGTGTGAAAGAAAAATCCCACCTTTGATGTCAAATCAGCATCTGCTTCCTTCCTTTTTAGTTATTTATGCCATAGGGCAAAATCTAACATAAAAAATAGACAGCTGTACCAAATGACCTGACATTTGGAGCTGCACTTTCCTTTATGGAAACATGCTATAAAACTTAGTAGAAAAATAACATTCCTAGAAGTATTTTGTCACAACTTATATAATGTGTAAGTTCTACAATGATTTTTTTTTTTTTAGATGAAATATTCTGTGCTAAATTCTACAGTGTCTCTCTTAGAATCATAGTATACATCTGTGGGAAAACAGTGGCTGAGATATTGCTGAATCATACAGATTTTTTTTTCTATCAGGATTAGGAAAAACAATGTAATGCAATTTTACTGTTTGGTTTGCTAATGGATAAAACCTCATATTGGAAATATGACGAATTGTGAATAGAAAGTTTTCTCTGAGTTTTACAAAGTTTGAAAATTTTTCACATTAGAGCAAGAGAATATGTTTTCCAAATTAAATATTCTGTGATCAAGTATTTCTAGTTATTTGAAGTAACAGACTTCCTTAATACAGATGATCAATGACCACTGAATGTAATGCAAATTATTTTATTATTGGGGCTTGAGCAATTAATCTGATACTATCATTTCATATCTCAGAATAATCCATTAAGAATACTTCTGCTTTTTATAAGTCTGTCAATCCCACTTGTTTTTATTCTTCACAGTTCATGAAAGGATCTTTTTATTCCCTCTAGATAAATGTTGGTAATATGTTTTGAAAAATGACTATTTAGAACAACAACATGCAAAATATGCTTTGATTGGTCTGTGTTTTTTACTGATTCTTCTTGGAGTAGCATAATGGACAGACTTTTTCCTCTAAGCATCTTATTTTTATGATTTGATTATGTCCTTTCTCTTTAATACTCTGTACAGAAAATTATATGAGCACTGCAACTACTTGTGTACCTAATATTGAACAGAAGTGTTTTCAGAAATAGGGCTTTGGCTTTGTCTCCCAGTTTCTATATGAAGTGATGAGGCATTCTCTGTTAATTGATGCTCTACTTGTGTTTCATGTATGTTACTCACAAATCTGTTGTAAAGTGGCAGGGTTTTTTTCTTTTGGTCACTTACTGATGTATAATTTGCAAAAACTAGATTTAATACTAAAATTTGTCTCTTGCTGCACTGTTAGTAAAACAGATCTACAGAATTTGTTCCAGTGACACAGATTCACTCTTAGATTCCTGACTTCTGCATCATCAATTGCAAAGTCTAAGTTTTCAGTGTCTCTTGTGGTCATGAACTGAAGTATAAGCAATTCCATTTAAACCTAGAAAAAAACATTTTGGCTGTGATGATGATCAGACACTGGAAGTAGTGGCCCAGAGAGGTTGTGGACACTCCATCCATGGAGATATTCAAAACTGAACTGAGTATAGCTGTGGACAGCCTTCCCTAATTGACCATGCTTTGACCAAGTGTTTGAACTGGGACTCCAGAAGTGCCTTCTTACCTCAGTTAGTCTGAATGTATGATAATTATCAGCTTCTTGTTTAGCAAATGTATAAACTGTGTTGTTTACACTCAGTCTCTCAGTGACGCAGTTTTTTTGTTTTTTCCAGTTTAGATGATATCCTAGTCGGTGCCCCTCTTTTTATGGAACGAGAATTTGAGAGCAAGCCTAAAGAAGTTGGGCAAGTTTATCTGTACCTGCAGGAAAGTGCATTCCTCTTCCACGATGCACAAATTCTTACAGGCACTGAAGTGTTTGGTAGATTTGGCAGTGCCATCACACACCTTGGAGATCTCAATCAGGATGGATATAATGGTAATGTGAATGTAATGTAGTGTATTTCTAACACTGAAATTACAAATGCCCAAGCAGCAAATATTGTGTCTGTGCTGTGCTGGAAAAGGCTTTGTAACATATTTGAAATTCATGAGAATTAGTAATACTAATGCTAATGAAACTGATATTGAGACCCAAATATGAAAAGTGACCAATAAGAGGGCAGTCATATTGACTACATTGTGATTTTTTACTAAATGTTAGGGTTTTTTTAAATAAAAATACCTTTTGTTTTATAACTATAATAGCATTTAATTACTTGATTAAGATGTTTCATATTATTGAAAGCAGAGTTCTTATCTCCTCAAATGCTTGGAAGAGTTTGATAATTCAATGAGGCTCAGTACATGGAGCATTTTGTCAACAATGAAAGAATTGGGCAAGTACAAAAGTACTATTTTGGAGTCAGCCTTCCACTGGTACTTAAGTACTGAAAAACCAATGCATAATGGGTTCTTTTAAATGCTTATAGCACATGCACACAACAAAATGTTCATGTAAGTTAACTGGCAGTCCACATTCAAGCAACTAGAAAAACTAAACTTACTGCTTGATTACCTGAGAAAGCTGGGATACCTTGAGCACCTAGAGTTAGCCTCCTAGACATGATCAGTGGCATCTTGGTTTTCCCTGCATGCATTACCTTACTTCTTATTTCCAGGATGTTAGGGATCTTCAAAGCAGATATCTTTGCATCTAAAACACCAAGAAGTTTTTTTCCTGGAAGAGCTGTTTTGCACAATAGCCTTTAGAATAGCTGTCCCACTAAGGAAAAATTAATGAACTAAGGAGTAATTAAGTACCTCCTGGGGTGTTTTTCACAATGCTCTAGCCACTAGATTCTGGGGCAATGTCCTCATTGTGTGGCTGCTATGGGAGGGATCATTCATGTCAGGAGTCATAGAAGTGCACTGGGGTTCAGAGTGAACAAAGTATGAATACCATCCTGTGGGTAGGAGCCATTGGATTGTGACTCCTGAGAGCACCCTCACTGACTTATCCTGGAATCCCACCATGGAGTTCATCACAGCTGAACCTAATGGTGGAGAACTCCTGCTTTCTACCTGTGAGCAATAGCAGATACCCTCAGCTACTCTGGGCAGGCAGTGTTGGTCTCCTGTCTGTCCAGAATTCAGATGAGGTAGGCAGAAGACATTTCTGCTTTTCTCTCTCACTGTAGAAAGACTAAGATTCTAGAGCCAGAGCCTTCTTCATAACTGGATATGCCAGTCATAGAGCTTTGGTGTGCTTCTGCCATTAGAGTGAAGCTACAGAGGCCAGGTGCTCAATTCAAGTTTAATAAAGAAATCCAGCATCATTTACTAGATCAGAACCCAAAAATGAGAGCTACAGATACATATCCCCTATTGTTTCCTATTATTTAGCTCAGCTACAGCAGCTGTTGGTTCTCAGTCTGGACAATATTGTCTCCACATCCTGTGCATGCACAGAAACTAAAAAGAGCACTGTAAATTCTGCTTCTTGGATATGGCACCTCATTTTTAAGGATTGAACTGTTTCATTCCATAGTGCCTAAGAGCTCTTGTGAAATTCCTGACTCAGTACTATTCCATCAATAAAATGATGAATTGATATAGATGAAAACATTATATTCCACTGTTCTCGTTTGCATTCTAAAGCATTGGGTGTTTGAGGGGATGAAGTTTTTTGTCTATGTAGGATATGTTATCTGGAAAAAGAAAATTAGTTTTATCTAACAGCTGCTCCTTATTAACAGGTGATCGAAGAAATCAAAGAAAATTTGTACCTGTTTAAAAATACGAAAGTAGAAGCAGGCATTCATTAGATCTTGGTTTATTAAAGCTAATTAACTGCCCTGGAAAAATGTAGAGGAATCCAATGTGGACTGGCTATTTAGTATAATTAAATAACCTCTTGATAGGATTATTTTATAAGCTGTTGTCATGAAAGTTTGACACAGAAAAAACACTGCTAGCATTTTGTATATTTTCCTTTAAACTAGAATACATTCAGAAATAGAGAATGATGAAGTTCTTGCATGTTTGTAGCAGAAGCAATTTGAGTCTGTTTTCCTGCAGGGAGTTAATTTTTAATTGTGCCCATTCTTTTTATCCTTTTTTTTTTTTTCCTCTGAAGACATTGCTATTGGTGCACCATTTGCAGGAGAAGACAGAAGAGGGAAAGTGCTCATTTACAATGGACACAGTAATGGGTTAAATCCTAACCCTTCCCAGGTTCTCAATGGAGCCTGGGCCTCTCAGTCCATGCCTTCGGGATTTGGCTTCACTCTGAGAGGAGACTCAGATGTAGACAAGAATGATTACCCAGGTAAGATTTTTGCATTAGAAAGGGAATTTCATACTTCCATTCTCTGGTAAATTCATCATGCCTAAACTGCTCCTTCTGGAAGGCAGAGGTCAGAATAAAGGATAGACATTTCTGGACAGTTCTAGTTTGCTTTCCTGAGAGTTAAAAACAGACAAAACAAATACTCCCTTTCCTGTCAAAAGACATGATCAGAAAGTCAAGAAAGGGCTGAAATAGTTGTATTAACATAAAACATGTGAAGTTTACAATGAAAACCTTAACCCTATTCCCCCACTTCCAAAAACTGAATGGTCTCAGCTTATTGAACTTGTAAGGTCTCCTTCATCCTGGCATTCTTTCTTAATTAAAAACATGTTGCATTGTAGAAGAAGGGATTGGTTTGGTTGTGTTTCTGAGTTGTTTTTTGCTGACCAAAGAGACACTGAGCTATATATAGTTAATGGCTTTGCATTACAAAAAAGCAGAGAGAATGCAAATTGCTTAAAGCAGCAATTTTATTTGGGCCTTTCCATTCCTTTTATGTTTTCATTTTGAGATATGGACTCTTCCTTTTTAGGTTAGCTTTGATTCTTCCTAACGAGTTTACCTTACATGCATTCACATTTATAGAGTTTGTAACATTAATTAAGTTTTTCAGGGGAGCATTTGTTTTTAAAAGAAAATTTTTCCTACCATCTAAGTAGTCTGAATGTAAGTGTGCTTGTATTTACTCTCTCTCTCATCTGGAAACAAATCTGTTCTGTTTCTTTTCATGGCAATTCAGAAGCCTTGGTATTTTCTTACTGTGAAAGGTTCATCCACAGTAAAATCCTAACAGTCCACGTTTCCCTGACTTACTGTGAAATCACTCTTGTTACCCTGGGTTATTTCAAGGCTAGAGTTCTTAAAAGTTGTGCTATTTCAAAAGTGAAAATTGTAATTTTTCAAAGGGACAAAACCAGGATCTTTTACCTTTCTGAGATGGATTGTAAAAGCCTTGAAAGAGGTATCTTTCCAAAAGCAGAAGGCAATTTCTGGGAAGGAGTGTTTACAATAGAAATTACAGTTTTGCAAACAGAAAAGCTGACTGCAGGGTAATAAAATGAGGCTATCATGGGACTAAAGTAAGAAGATCTTTAGCATTAGAGAGAAGAAAGTGCTTTTAAACACTGTTCTGACTTTTTGTTTGCATATTGTTGATGTTGCTATTAATAGTCTTTCATTGTCCATGACTAATGAGGTTCTCTTGGACAACAGAGCTCTTTATTAAAGTTTCAGCATTTAAACATTTCCTAAAGCACCCACAAGGCCCCCAGCAAAACCAAAGGAAACAGGATATTGCATTCCTGGCATTTCTAAGATTGAAAAGATAGAGGGAAGGGAGAGATTCTTTGACTCACATAAAGAGTAGAAGTCTTGCTGCTGTATTAGCATACTTTATGTGGAGCATCTTTTAAGCTAATTTGTGGAAAGTTTGGGTGATCAGTCTTGATCTTTCTAAATGTGCACTGAGGAATTGTAGTATAATTGTGTGTTCTCTCTCTGTCATTGTGGCCTCCAACATGCATCCTACTTGCAGAATTTCACATTGTGTTATCAGCTCACTATGGGTTAGAGCATTTGGTTTTATTACAGGAATTACCTAATTAAAAAAATGAAAACAAAAGAAACACCACCCTGCATTTACTGTAACTAGCTTTTCCCCTGGATAAGCAGTCCACAGCACTGCTGAAAATCTCTCAGAAAATGAGATGAAAAATCCCTTACTATGAGTCAACCACCTCTTCCCTAATTCATGAAGATTTGGAACACCAAAACAGAGCTGTAAAAATAGTGCAAACATGGCACAATGCTAGCACAAAAATAGAGTGCCTTCCTATGGGAAAAGGGAAAAAAAAAAAAAAAAGGAAATAATACAGGGAAATGCAAGCCTAGGACAAACACTCTAGGCAATGAATCAAGTAATCCTTCTCGTGTCAAAGAGCTTTCCTTCTTCACCTCCTGACGGAAACGCCTGAGGGCAACCCTTGTAAAAGGAGGAAACAAGGTACTGAAGTTGGAAGGATTAGGAAGGAAGTTTTATTTTAGAGAAATGGGGTCTGGCTGACTATAGAAAGTCTAGAAAATTAGCCTTTAATTCCATGCTTCCCAAAGTACTGTTTGTGCCTGTGATTCAAAGAAGGTTGTGAAAGATTAGGGGGGAAAAAAAACCACAAAAATTTTCATTTAAGCTTTCTAGTGTGCATATTCTAAAAGTGGCCCTTTTCTAAAAAGAAAAAATGTAATAAAATCAGATTATTCTGACTTAACACTCTCAGAAGTTCTGTTCTCAGAATTTCTGGACTGGGAGATGAGAGACAGCTGTAATGGCTGCAGGTATAAGTGTATATTGCCACTGTGTAAGGTGAGATTCTCCAAGCATGTAGCTCTTCCATGGCTAGAGTTCAATTGTTCAAGACTGACCTGTATAACTACAGCTGAGCTTGTATAATTTACTCAAGCACTTGTGCCTGACATTGTTCATGAGGCAGCATATTCATGCTAGGAAATGGGAGTCTGAGACTTGAGAGTTACTCTGCCATTTCATTTCTAATGTACTATATAGCATTTTCAGAGCTTTTAGAGGTTCAGGCCTTCTTTAAATCAGACCATAAGGTAATGTTTTTGGGAGCAGGTCACTGACCTAGAGGGCAGAAGATACCACCTGTTCATATGGCTTCTTATCACAGACCACTGAGCTTTATCTGGGATTGCTGTTCTGATCCCAGCAACCCCAGTGCTCTTTGGTTACAAGTTGGGTAATACAGTTAGTAAAAAGTGAGGGTGAATCACAGTCAAATTTTTCTCCCATTGGGAAAAGGTTAAATCCTCTCTTGGCTGGGAGTTCAATTCAAACTGAGATCTATGTATTAGCCTTTTGGAGAAGAGAGACCATTTGGTATAGGGAGTAATATCTTCCTGTCTTCATCCAAATGCCAGTATGAGCTCAGGAACAGAGAAGGAAACAGGGAGCAGATGAAGACTCCCTAGTACACAGAGCTCCTCAAATCCCTCAGCTTTCCTGTGGATGGAGTGGTTTCTCTTTTCTCCTCTTCCTGCAACCAAAGGGAGAGAGTCTCCCCCACCCCCCACTTTCTGGTCTTTAGGAAAGGCAGAGAGAGTCTCTTGTTCCCCATGACCCAGCTGTATAATAAATTTGGGAGAAAACTAATCACAGGCAGGTTTAATGGTGGAGTAGCAGGGCAGACAAGGAAGAACATAATCCAGCCATACTGATAGAGATAAAAGCTCTGTCTAGCACCATAGCATGTTTCCAACAGTGGCCAATATTAGATATCCTGGGAATTGTACAGTTGTTGTGATACTTCCCAGAATATTCACCCAGCATTAACCAACCAGAATATCAAGGTGGCCCAGAGTGAGAGATGGCACCTCCAAAATTAGAATCGTTTGACAGACTTTTCTTCCATGAATTTGACCAATCCACTGTAAAACTCATGCAGACTTTTGGCACATGCAGCATTTGTCAAGGGACCCCACAGCCCAGCTGAATTGCCTGTGAAGAAGTAATTCTCACTGTGTCCCATTCAAATCTTGAATGTTCCACTGGACATTTTCTAGTTCTTACGCTGAATACACAGTGAGCAGTTCTGCAGCCCAGTTATTTTACAGACTTCCAACATACTTCCTCTATCAGCCACGTGTTTTAGCAATCCTGTGGAAGGAATTCTAATATATTTAATTGTTTCTTGTGCAGTGGAGAATGGCACACCAGTTCTGCTGTACCAAATTATTGTTCAGTCTTGCCACCACTGCTGCCTCTTCTCTTCTTCATATATTTTTATGCAAAGAGCAGTTAGTAGTTTATGACTTCGTGTATGGGTAAAGTTTCTGATAAAGATTTTACCACTGACCTGGGTTTCATATTTAACAAACATAAAAAAGAGCTGTATCTTCTCTACTGAGAAGGAAATCAGAATTAGTACTTGAAAAAATAATAATCCCAAATATTTTTCAATGCTTTTAGTAATTATGTTTGTACAAGAAAATAAATTGGGCCAGGAACTGTGGTCTGGGCTTGAGGCTACATGGCACAGCACAGCTCACTCTTATCAGATGAAACCACTGGAACAGGATGGCAGTACCCATATTCCCTTTTGTGGAAGGTCTTTGGCCCAGACCTTTCCCAGCTGCTGTCTGGGAGAGTACTAACTTGCATGCACTAAAATCACAGCTAATCTGTGCTAACAATACAAAAATATGGACAGTACACAGTGCTCAAGCACATGCCCTGCCTTTATTGCACAAACACAGGGTACAGACAGCTGAATAACTAACTAGTCAACATCTTACCTAAAAATGGAACTTTCTCTGGTAGAGACAGCATGCAGACAGAGCTGCTTTTCCTCCTTGTTAGCAGTTCTCTCAGTGTCACCATCTGTCTTCAGCTGGCCTAGGTGCTGTCACTGTAACAGTAACAGACCTCTCAGCATTGTGAAAATACAGAGATTTTTTCAACAGGGAAGACTGAGTCTTGTTACTAAGTACAACCTTTGGTTTACATCTCTGCAGCTTTCCAGGAGGGAGTTCTGCAAATTGTGTCATCCTTACAGACACTCCAGATGTTATGTACCCAGAACTGTTCCTTTATCAGCACAGACAGGAGTGATAATATGGAAGTCTCTGCTTTGCAGGCTTGGGGGCAGTAGGAGGAAACTTTCAACCCTGGGAAGCAGCAGAGGCAGAAAACTGTGCTGATCATCCTAACAGCTGTGCTGCTCATGTTGCTGCCCTCTCTGTGCTTGTGTTCATCACCTTCTGCCCCAAACAGAGGGCTCCTCCTCACCTAGCTGGAGTGCAATGCCAAGCAGTGGTGATGGTGGTAACTAATGGATGGATGCTCCTTTCTCTGTAGTCATGTAAGAGGCAGAATCTAATGAAACTTTCTAGTCAGGTAAGACTAGTGAAAGGAAGCAGATTAAGCATATCTGTCAGATAGACTGTGCCAAGCCATGATGTGC